GGCTCAGTTGGTTAAGCGACTGCCTTCGGCTCAGGTCATGATCCTGGAGTCCCTGGTTCGAGTCCCGCATCGGGCTCCCTGCTCGGCAGGGGGTCTGCTTCTCCCTCTGACCCTCCCCCCTCTCATGTGCTCTCTCTCTCAAATAAATAAATAAAATCTTTAAAAAAAAAAAAAGGAAATCAGCTTAGGAAATGATAAAAAAAATATTTCACAAAATGGATTTTTTTTTTTTAAGATTTATTTGAGAGAAAGACAGAGAGCGTGACCACAAAAAGGAGAAGCGACAGGCAGAGGGAGAAGCAGGCTCCCTGCAGAGCAGGGAGCCTGATGCAGAGCTCGATCCCAGAACCCTGGGATCATGACCTGAGTTGAAGGCAGACGCTTAACCGACTGAGCCACCCAGGCGTCCCAAGCCTAAAAATAAATGGATTTTCTGTGGGCCTAGGAGTTTCTTAGCAACTAGCAGAGTTCCTGGCACACAAAAGATGATCCAAAGATTGTTTGTAAATCAACTGTAAAGCTTCAAATATACATATATATTTTTATATATATTTACATATGTATTTTTATTAATAGATTAACTTTGAGAGAGCAATCCTGGAAATAACAGAAATAGTGACCTCTAATGGTAGAAAACTGTATTTTCCCCCATCCTTATCATATGACATGAAAATTAAGAATTCCATTTTATGTGAAAAAATGTTAATGCATTTTGCCCTTTAGCTTATAGAAATGTATTCTCCTCCTAGAAGAAAGGGAATTGAGGGTATATATAACTAGACCCCAAAAATGTCAATTTATTTAATTCTGTTTGGAACTTCACCTCCAAGTCTATGATTTTCCTCATACTAAATACAAAGCCTAATAAAATTTGGCTGGCAGGGACAGAGATAAGATCTATACATCAGTGATTCTCAACCAGGAACGGAGAGGGAGAGGTCTGAACTAGTGGAAACTAGTGGGGTGTATAGGGGACGGTGTGGGAGAATGTGGCTGGGGAGATGGAATTTTTTATGTTTATCTGGAGGGGGGCCTAAGGCAAACTACTGATAAATTTGCTATTTTTAATTATGAAAAATTCATCCTTAACATTATCACTTCAGGTTCATGCTGATATAACAAAACACATGTGCATTTTTCCAAATGTAATCACAAGTGATCTATTTGCAAAACTGGAAAATTGTTGAATTCCTAATTTTTACCTAGTATTTGCAAAAGTATAAACATCCTTCCTTCTTCAATTGTATCTCCTCATTTTATAGAAGAGGAAACAGGGTTAACTGGGAGGCATGATGACAACTTTAATATTCCCTGCCTGGTCCCTCCTGGTCCAAGTGTATTTAAAAAGTTACTATTTTGAGAGAGGTGTAATTCCTTTAATTTGTCATAGTTGTACCACAGAAAGTTTAGGCTACAAAGAACTATTCAATCACTTAAATTAATTATCTGTTTTTACCAGTAAAAACCAATTCATCATGCAGGCAACTTTTCTCTTGCTTGAGACGAATGATCTCTTCTCGTTGTTCATTATTTTCTGTTGTCTTTTCATTTAGATCCTCTTCACAAATAGAAGAAAACAAAAGTCCTTGAATAAATACTATTTGCTAGAAAAATATACACTGTGAGTACCTCTCATGCCCTCGGCACCCTTTCCAATTAATGTGAAGTCCCGTCGGAGCTGCAGCCAACATATATCTAAACTCGCTGCATCCTTGGCAATGACCTTCTCAGGCTTCCCTATTCCTGACTGGTCTCTCCACTCAAACCATGCCTCTCCTGCTACAGCCTATTGCCCAGAGAGCAATAAGGGCATTTTTTTTGAAGAAGAAGAAGAAGTGGGGCTCAAACTCACAACCCCAAGATCAAGAGTCACATGCTCTTCTGACTCAGCCAGCCAGGCACACCAGGGCAATCTTTTAAAAGTAAAAAATCTGGGGGCGCCTGGGTGGCTCAGTCGGTTAAGTGGCTGCCTTCGGCTCAGGTCATGATCCCAGGGTCCTGGG